TAGTTTGTGGTAGTCCATATCTCGCGAATTCACTGACAATAGTTTGTGGTAGTCCATATCTCGCTAATATCCTTTTCAGCTCCTTTACAGTCTGATTTGCCGTTCATTTCGATAACCTCCGGCTATTTACTGTAGGCATGTAGTAGCAGCTACAGATCGTTCCAGCAAAATCCACTGAATCCTTTGCCAGGCACGAGTAGGAGTTGGCCATGTCTCCAGTGGCACTTTTATGGATTTTTCGCATATTCTTGACACTTCGAACAGTTACGCACCATGTTTTGGACGATCGTCATCAATGTTTCGGCCAGTACACATAAATTCTAGCAAGCTTTTTCATCCTTACGATTCCGACCAATATGTAGTTCTTTAAGCACTTTGGATCGCAGTTATTTCGGAGCTCTCTCTCCCATCAAGAGACAACCTTCCACAATCGGTAGTGTTTCCTTTCTATTGAAAAACGGTGCCAGCTTGGGTTCGACCTCTGGCCATCTTCCGTGTTTCACATATGATTTGATTTCTCGCAGAAGTGGATCCTTCTCTGTGCTAACTCGCACATCTTCATGAGTCAGCGGTAGTTTTCCTATGCATTCCTTTGAGCAATCTTGAGACATCGTTTTCAACTGCTGCGACTACCATTTCTTCGTCTGATACAGGGTGCTGTTTCATCAGTCTTGACAAACCGTCCACTTGACCAAATTGCGTAGTCTTCACGTACTCGATTTCGAAGTCATATCCCAGCAAAATTGTTGCCCATCGCACGAGTCGGTTTGCGGAATAGATCGGAACTCCTTTTCTTGTCGCCAAAAATCGCTAGTAAAGGCTTATGATCTGTCAGCAATAGAAATTTTCTTCCAAACAAGTATTTGTGGAACTTCTTGACAGCAAATACAATTCCAAGAGCTTCCTTCTCAATTTGTGAATAGTTCTTCTCAGCAGTTGATAACGATCGAGAGGCATGTGCGATTGGTTTCTCTGAGCCATCGGGGTAGCGATGTGAAATAACACATCCGATTCCGTAGTCACTAGCATCGGCTGCAACAACAAGTTTCTGCCGTGGATCGTAGTGGGCCAGGTTCATGTCACTTGATAACACTTCTTTTAGGTTTCTGAAAGCTTCTTGTTCTTTTGAAGACCATTTTCACTTTGCATCCTTTTTCAACCTTGCGTCCAGGGGTCCACGTAGGTCCTTCATAGAGGGTACAAAAGCGAGTAGTATGCCACCATGCCGAGGAATGCTCGTAGTTGGACAATATTCTTCGGTTCACTCATATTCTTAATTGCTTCGATCTTTTCTGGATTGGGTCTTCTTCCATTTTTGTCCACGATGAAACCAAGGTATCGGATTTCCGGCTTGGAAAACGCACATTTATCTAGACGAACTTTGAATCCATAGTCTGCTATTCATAATAGGGCGAAGCAAGTTTTCTTTGTGCTCTTCAGCTGTTTTGCCGCTCACGAGGATGTCGTCCAAGTACGTAGTCACTCCTCTGAGTCCAGACACCATTTTGTTCATTACTTGCTGGAAAATCGCTGGTGCGGTCTTAATTCCGAAGGGCAGTCGATTGTATTGAAATAGTCCTCTGTGTGTGTTTATCACAACTTTTCTTTTTGAGTCCTCGGATAGTTCCAATTGCAAGTAAGCGTCCGATAAGTCGATTTGTGAGAATACCGTTCCTCCATTTAAGGACGCAAAGATATCTTCTGGCATGGGTAACGGGTAGCTGAAGGATTGCAGAGCTTTGTTCAGACCCATTGAGAAATCAGCGCATACTCTGAGCTTTCCATTTTGCTTCTTCACGCAAACGATGGGTGCAGCCCATTCACTGTGGTTCACGGGTGTGATGACACCTAATTTTTCAAGCCTGTTCAGTTCTGCGGTCACTGCTTCCAAAGCTGCATGGGGGACTGGACGGCTGCTGCAGAACACTGGATGCGTATTTGGTGTTAGCTGTAATTCAACTTTTTCCTTGGTGCAGCGTCCTAGACCTTCTTCGAAAACCTCCTGGAAATGTTTTCTTCAACTCTTCTTCAAGTCTGGGGTTGCAGTTTGCTTTCACTTCCGCAGCTATCATTTCTATGTGGTACATCAATTTCTCGTTTGCTCGATCCATTCGAGACCCAATAGTGAGCTAA